CCCTTATTGGTTGGATTGTGTCACGTGGTGTGAATACTGAGCCCTGATTGGTTGGTTTGTGTCACGTGGTGTGAATACTGAGCCCTGATTGGTTGGTTTGTGTCACGTGGTGTGAATACTGAGCCCTGATTGGTTGGTTTGTGTCACGTGGTGTGAATACTGAGGTCTGATTGGTTACTACTATGATTATAAACCTTGTAGTCAGCACTGTAAATTGACGTTATTATTTATTAGTACCCGCTACGTAATTTAGTTGACAGCATAGGGGCGCTGATCAAGTCCCGGAAATTGTAGTACTGTAGTTGGCACATGTAACGTGTCATTACATAGTCACGTGTTATTACATAGTCATTAGTCACGTGTCATTACATAGTCTTGTAAACATCCCCTTCATTATATTTTTAATAAAATGAACTGCAGATGTCGTCCTAATTAGTCGTTTCAAAGCTGAATAGAAGCGACTAGGTAATGTGGCGTTCTAAAATCTGGGGTTACTCTAGGTTCAAGACTATATATCACGTGTTCGCACGGATATTTCACTATTTGTCGTCAAGGATACATATCTTGGTATCCAGGATACATATCTCGGTATCCAGACAAGTGGACAGACTGATCTTAAAGGTCCTGGTACAAAATAGCCACCCTAATCCGAATCGGAACAAATACCGGTAATTTTCTCAGCTCCGTAAATATAAGTCAGACTTATCATCTCCATCATTCCAGCCGCAAAACATCGCCATTCAGAAGAAAATCCTGAACTAATGATATCACGATACTGAGCTAATAATGTCTTGATCGGCTACATGATGACAAAATCCTATATCTAGATACTATCAGTGACCCAGACTAATCTCTACATGTCACTGCCAGTCACCGACCACTTCACATTACACACGTCACTATTATACATACTACACGTTAGTTCTACTGCAATATGTCATCTGTAATGTCTGATCGGTGTGGGTTTCAGTATGTCATCATGTACTGAAGTATTGGAGGGTGGATCTTTTAGTGGTAGTCCGAGTGATATCGACATTAAAAACTGGGATCTAGTTGAGTATTATTAACTGGTATGAGTTTAACTAATTATCAATTAACTCATTACACGTTCACTAATTGGAGTAATTAGTAATTAATTCCCCGAGCATTTGAAAGTTAGTTACACTAAAGCGACTCTATTCTTCTAATTTATTTTCAGTTCATTACACGTACAAATCCAACGGTTTTACTCAACAGAATATTTGGCATTCTATTAAAATCCACAAGTCCACTACATTTATACTCACAACCTTTCACAAAGTGTACTAAGTCTTTTACTATATACACACACACACAGCAGGCACCTGTACCGTACCTTATTACTGCAATCAACTAGTTGTATAAAATATGATAATAGACAAATTTTAACGTCGATAAATTAGCTGAATTGTAAGATGAAATATGTTAACTATCCAATTCCCCACGCCCTCCCTTAAAGTTAACTTAAATTGTTATTTTATTTGGGTGTGAATTTCTCCCGAGTCCATGGTGATAGAGCTGAATGAGGCGTATTAATAGGTTTAATTTTACTAGACTATCTTTAATTAATAGGTTTAATTTTACTAGACTATCTTACACCCAGCGTATCACAGGTTTCAACCTCTGGGATTAGTTAGTGACCTTCCCTGAATTAAACGAAACCGGATCACAGATCCCAACCAATCAGGAACCGGAATATTTGTCACGTGATCAAATCAACCAATGACGTAAGCTGATGATATTTAGGCTCGTGATATTGAGCTGGTTTGACAGAGAGCCTAAACCAGATCTACCCACACTTGTTTTGACACGTGACAGTAATTCTGGAGTTTGGTTGGTCAACCCTTGAAGCTGATTGGCTAATCATTGTCACATGCCACCGGGCAAATATGGTTCTCAATATCCCGATCAGTAGTCCACTTTAAACTCACAATTTTCACATTTCACGGCTGAAACACAAAGACTAACACCTACTGGCTGGAATGTGGTGCTAGACTCTAACAATAATCCAAATAATTCAAATAATTGGGTGAACATTATCACATACTGAGACAACATACTGGACTGAATTAATAACATAACAATATTTAAACTAATATAAATTAATAATAATAATTATAGGGGCGTTCACTAAAGCGCAGTTAGATCCAGACAGGACGGGTCCAATCATTGCATTGACAGTATTATTTATCTGAAAAAAGATGTGGATTCTGGTTGGGAGGTGAGTGCCGGGTGAGGCATGCTTATCTGACACGTGACAGTGATTCTGGGGTCTGATTGGTCAATAGTCAATAGTGGTTTATGTTTGGTTAAAAGTTGTCACGTGTCAATAAAACCAGTAAGTGATTGTTGGATTTGTAGTTGACTTGATATGATATATTTAGGAAGGAACTGTACCAGTATCACACAGTGTTTTATAGTGCCCGATATTAGATACAATAATAATTAATAGTATGTGCATATTATTCCTACCTTAGCATAGGTTCAAACTTATAATATTATTAGTCATTACCTTACCGAGTTTCCTATAAAAAGCGACCAAAATTGTGGTTTGTCTTAAATTTGAAAGTTTGGAAATGTGGGTATTTACATGAATAGCTGGGTATGTATAATAATATGTTATGTGGTAGCCATATTTGCAATATATGCTGATTGTTGGTAAGGTAGGATCCCCTATAAAATAATTATTCGCACACAAAATTAAGATAAATGGAAAATTCAATAAAACTGCTTGAGCTGCTATATTTTCCATCAATTCACCGTTTAACACAAGTAAAAATAGTGTTGGAATGCATTGGAGTATGCGTAAACAGTAAAACAATGAACAGTTAAATTAACGGCTAATAAGTTAATTACGGTACTAATTGTTTTAACAGATACCGGATGCAATGTACAATTGCTACAATTGTATTAAATTTATAATGTATAAAGTTAGTGAGCAGCCCCTTTTACGTGGATAAAAGTTAGTTTAATATTGAGAGGGCGGAAATGTTTTAAGCAAATGTTGCAATATTATTATATTAAATACGTTATCTTGTAAACAATGGTAATGTTTGGATTGTGGGCGTCATGCGGATATTGTGGTCTTTAAAAATTTAAAACGGATGGTTGTTAAATGTCCTGGATATTTTAAGTGATTTACAAGTGACTCTTTTCGGTGGAACACACAATCCTGTTCGATGAATTGTCAAATTCAGCGATAATTATTACGAATGACAGCACAGTCTAAAGGTTGGAATTTCAAAAAAGATTATGAGTCATAAACATGATCAAAAGCGACCAATCCCAGCAGAGAATTAAACCCGCGTGTGTTTTCCTAATCAATCAGAATAAGGTATTCTTCTCACGTGACGTGATCCATCGAAACAGAGATCGCTGTATTAGTCCTTGAATGTAAATATTCTCGTAACTTTTAGCCTTTCATTTAACTCAACAGGGGGTCTTGATCTTACAATCGTACACCACACCTTAGAATACCTCCAGAGTAACCAATCACAGCGCTTGACAATATCACGTGATTTTAAAATGGACCTATTACAGGCCTTTAAATCATCACGTGACCGATAATGACTGAAGGTCGACATGTTACATACTTCAGATAACTCCCTTGATATTAAGTCACGTGGTATTAAGTCACGTGATATTAACTCACGTGGTGATGTTCAGAAGGTTTGATTTGACCTCAGGGGCAGACTATTTATTTTCTCATTTAAAGCTGGAACCGCACTGAGATTGAAGTTAGAAGAGCGAAATCATGCTGTGGAATCGAGAACTTCATTTAACAGGCAGCCTTTTAACTAATAACTGAAAACGATTAACACATGCTGTTTGAAAGCTTCTCGAACAACAACTTGTCGCATTAATTATACCCTTTAATTACCACATTAATTATACCCTTCCAAATACCCTTCTAAAACCTCCTCCTCTATTTCCAACTTTTGATCTGCACTGTCAATCCTCGTACAAACACACTCATTAATCTCCAGCCTGGCAGCAGATTCCCGTTGGAAGTTGGAACCTAATGGATCCATGATATCACGACAGCATATAATCGTATCTTATTGTGTAGTACAGAACTACTCTGTTTAATGATACCTTATCTTAGAACACACAACTTCTTTTGACACCTATTCACTATTCGGAGCCCTTCAGTAGAGACCAATCTAACCTTTCCAATATCACGTGATCTTTAGATCAACCAATCGAAGACCTTTAAACTATCCGAAGATCTTGTACTGGGTGAATTACACCACAGTGATGTTTAATTCATCAGATTTTATACTAAACTCAGACCCTATTACAAGTTATGATAGGAGGGATATTAAAAATTGAAGCCCCAGTACAACGGGCCATTACGACAAATCATACACTAATCAAAATGCCATTACAGCAGCACTGAAAAGACACATAAAATCACTTAACTAATGACATTTAATGTGAACAAATTGCCTTCTAATTCACAAAGTCGACCTCAACATGATAAATCAGGATAATTGTCATTCTAGGTTAGGTATGATAATTATTCGGGTCTCCCATGTCTACAATAAATGCTCGACCACTGTACTACTACTGTGCTATTACACTATTAAAGTTCTTATACACTACATGATGACAATTGCTAATAGCCGGCCCGGACCATAACGTTAGTAATAGAGATTAATTTAGCTGGTGACCAATCTGAAAGCTCCCTATGAAATACTGAATTTAAGTAAATTCCCAATGACAGCAGTAAATTTCTATTATGTAAGATTAACAGAGCAGGGGACTCATGTGCTCTTTCAGCTCCAAATGGCTCCTTTCCAGCTGATCAACAGTGCTGTACACATTCAGAACACGTACATCGGAGATCACAAGTAATAAACTCATAAATCTGTAGTTGGAAATGAGGGCAACAATCCTCATAAAACGAAGAAAAATCATGATCGGTTCCTGCAATATCAAAATACAGGTGTTTATTATTTAGACTTAAGTTAATAACTCACCATCAAAGGGGCTAAGTGCTGCTTGATGGCACTTGCTCTGGCTTCGCTGCTCAAACCATTTCTTACTTTGAACGTTCCAATGTACTGAAAGTGTTGGATATTTTTCAAAGACAGTTTGCTGTAAGTTTAGTGGTCAAGCACTCAAAAAAGTTACAAAAGTGACTGCACATGCATGGGTAATGGGTATTTATATTCATCAACAACTCGTACATATTAAATTTTATTTCAGGATTGATATTTTGGGAGTGAGAGTGAGACATAATACATTGTAAATCTAGCTGTCCTAGGCTGTAAAATTTATTATTTTGTTCATCTTGGGTTATAACCTTGCAATGTTTGACGATGCCAGGTAGCTTTCCATTTGTATCTATTTGGGGTTGTCTGTTTTTGTATCTGAAATTTTAAAGGTTAGTGTCACATTCTCTTTTTTACAATACTGAGAGCTACAACAAAAATACAACTGTCAAACTACTGTTATCAGACTTAAGCATCACCTTTCGCTATTTGGAGGCAGTATACGATCGTGTTCAGCAGGGATAGGCGAGGGTCCTTGAGCAACTCTTTTCTTGGCTTTCAACAGATACATAATACATCATAAACACTAGTTGAATGAAGGGGAAAATTAGACACAAAATTAAGTCCAAGTTATGGGATTGTAATTGATGTGACTTTTTTACTCTAATGGAATAAAAAAGCTTCATTTTGGAAAACAACGGTTGCTCTGACAGGTTTTTCACTCAGTTGAAAGGGTGTTTTAGACTGCTTGAGTCATTTACAAGCAAAAAGTTTGAATATTTCAATTCCGGTTGACAAATCACTATCTTGTGTCTGCTAACACTTTTTACAGTGAAAGGTTTTAATGAACAGACTGGCCAACATTGGACCAAAAAATTCTTGGACCACCAAACCAGTGGCATAACAAATAGCCCAAAAAGTGCCCTTTGGGTTCAACAAAATTTTTAATAGGGGGGCCAACAAATTACAGCGTGGGAAGGGAAAAATGCAAATGGTATGGAAAATTTTAAAAGGTGCCCGATTTTGAGGCAATTTCTCAAACTCTGTCGCGGACAATAAATTCTTGGCTTTATATTGAAGCTGTCCTTAAATGTCACTCTTGTGACAAGGTGGTATGTAGCATTTTAACAATGAGGTGAGTTATCAACAAAAGTCAATCTTATTTAAGACACCCTCTATCGAAGAATGAATATCTCAAAAACAAAGATGTTCTTGAAATGAAGTGAACCCATAAAGGATTCAGTTTTTTTGGTCCTTCTGCTGAGTCGACATGGGTCTCGACATAATAAAGTCCTTAGCTCACCACAGGGAGATTTGATAAATATATCTGATCAAGTTATTGATTGATTGAAATAAATTTTCGTGCACATACAGAATGAATGGTTAATAATTTAATATATATGTAGACCAAGCTCTGTGCACGGGATGCTTCCTGGAAGAATCCAGTTCTTTTAGCGGGGCACCCTACCTAAAGCCAAATTGAGATATAATAATCATATTCCTAGAGAAATAATCAGAAATCGAATACCAATCAAATAATATGATATATATGAGTAGTAACCATATTTACTATGCAAAATGCCCCAACCACATAGTGTAAATTTATATAGAATTCAAATTCCATATCATCATTAAACCTCAACTAGTCAATATAATAGCCCAAGCAAAATTAAATAACTTCTTATATACCTTACTGTCATACTACAAATTAATTAAACATTTGAAATCTGTTAACCAGAGAATAAATTTCTAAGCCTAATGCAAGTGAAATAATTTAGATGCAATAATGAATGCCTAATGTGAGTATCATCTGTCAATGTCCTTGTAAAACAGTCTGTACAAGAGATATGAGTAACTAATATAGAAGAAAAAACAGGAAGTTGTCGTCTGTTGAAAAATAAATAAAATATCTAGAATATAAATTAGAATATAAAATAACATTCAGTCAATGTGTCGTCAATAAACTGTACAATTATCAAATGTTAAAACTGGGTGATACAGTCACCAAAAAAAATACTAAGTATGATAAGTTAATAAATTAAATGTGGTCTATAAAACTACCACTAGGTATAATAGGTCAATAAATTAAAAGTGGTTTATAAAACTACCACTGTGCGAACCCCTTCTCCAGTTAAAACATGTCAGTCATGTGCAAAATCAATCAGAATGGTAAGGTGGTCAAAAAGGGAATATCCTTTCGACATCAATTATATATGCCTCAGATTTAAAAGAATTAGAAGTTACTTAGTTATCGTCGACTATGATTGCAGTGTAAAATTTGTCATATGAATTGTCGACGGTATAATTAGGGTCTGTTGTTATAGATGATAGTAGCTGTTTCTTATGTACGAATCACTAAAGCTTTTAACATCGGGCAGATTTCGTAGATCTGTTGGAACATTATTCCAACATTTTGCCCCCAAGTATTGAAAGTTTTTATGTGATGTTGATCTATTGACATAAAGGTTGCAGCTTTCGCCGCTCCTACTACCTCCTGATATGTAACTAAATTTGTTCATAAAGTTTGTAGGACAATTGTCATGGATGATTCTAAACATATAATTTGACAGATGGAGTTGTCGTCTAAGATGGAGTGGTAACCATTTCATGTCTCTATAAACATTAAGGCTGCTCTCTGTTTGTCGAACGTTGAGAGCTATTTTGGCTACCTTTTTGTACAGAGTGTCAAGTTCAGCAAGTTTTGTCTTGCCAGCTCTACAATAGATCGTGTCTAAATAATCGAATTGTGGCAACATGAGTGCATTGGCAAACATTTTCCTATATTTAATGGGTAGCAGTGCTTTGCTTCTATACATGGCACCAATTCTCTTCATGACCTTCCTAATAATATAATCTACATGGCTTTTGAAGTTTAATTTACTATCTAGAATGAGGCCAAGATATTTTGTCTCTTTGCACTCCTTGATTGTGAAAGTTACCTCATTACATTCAATGGTTAATTCATCATGTTGGTCAACAGAATCAAACAATAGGAATTCAGTCTTCTTTTCATTGAGTGATAATTTATTAACACTGAGCCATTTAAAGATTGTCATAAGTTCTATTTTCATGTTTATAAATGTGCTTCTGCAGGTTTGATCAAAGAATAGTGCACCATCATCTGCAAATAGAAAGGGCTTAGATAGGTTACAGGCATAAATGATGTCATTTATGAAGATACTAAATAATATAGGCCCAATGATGCTTCCTTGTGGTACACCACTCAGAACTTCTAAAAATGAGCTTATTTTGCCATTGATCCTTGTGCATTGATATCTACAAGATAAGAAGTTCTTAAACCAGGTTAAAGCAATGCCACCAATTCCATAATATGCCAATTTTTGAAGCAATATTTCATGATTCACTGTGTCAAAGGCCTTCTTAAGATCAAGAAAGATGATTCCTGGTTTATAAGACTTAGATTTACTCATATATATTTCGTCCATCAGATCGTACATCAAATAAGTTGTGGAGTGATTTTTCCGAAAGCCATATTGATGCCGGATGAAAAGTTTGTTCTCTTCCATGTAATCAGTGAGTTGCTTGCCGACAAAGTATTCTATAAGTTTTCCTATAAGTGGAAGGATGGATATTGGCCTGTAATTATTAGGATCATCTTTCATTCCTGCCTTATGGATGGGAGTTTTTACAAAGGGTTGGTACAACACCTGTATTAAGGCTCAAATTGACAATATGGGTCAGTGGTTCAACTATGTGTGGTACAGCTTGCTTAAGTAAAAATAGAGGCACATCGTCATATGAGGCCTTGTCATTCTTGAGCGTTTCGACATACATTAGGATATCAGTTTCATTTATTTCTTGGAATCTATCAAATGAGATGTTAGAAGTTCTAGGAGGTAAAAAATCAGTAAAACTAACTCTTTCAATATTGGGGGCCTGATTTTGTAATATTGATCCAACATTTGCAAAATGAAAGTTAAATAGCTCAGGATCATTCTCATTGATAGTTTGACAATTAGTTGTACCAGGGGTCATATTTGATGCCAATTTGATAGTTTTCCATATCCCTTTAAGATCATTCTTGGCACTTTTAACTTGTAGATCATCGATTACATTAGCCTTTTTGCAGGTTTTAGCTAATTTATTTCTAATATTTCTCTGAATCTTGTAGCAATCCCAGGCCTCATTACACTTTATACATTTGCTACATGTACCACATTTATTGCAATTTCCATTGTCTCTCTTATCCTTCTTTTTACGGAATTTCTTTAGAAGAAAATGTGTATGATTAATGGCATTTAAAAGTTCAGTAGAAGGTTTATGTATGAACTTTTCATGCCTTTCTATGGTCTTGCAAGGGAAGAAGGTTGCATATGCCTGTTCAATATGATGACAAAGGCCAGCAGTGATAGCTTCAACATCTGTACTTTCCAATAGTGGACTGTAATCAGAACAGGTATCTAGATAGTCTAAGAATTGTTTAACATTACGTTTACAATGATTTCTAATTTCAACCTTTTCAAATTTAGGAGCTATAGGTACTTTACAATCTATCTCACACATAATAGCTTGATGATCCCCAATACGTTCATCAAGAACAGAAGATTGAACAAAATCTGCATAACAGTTAGTGAATATTACATCAATAGTAGTCTGGGTAAAATTGTCTCCACGTTTAGCAACTCTAGTTATCCCTTGAATGGTTTGAACTAGATTGTAACATCTCAAGGTAATGTTGTCTTATTGTTGTCTTAATGTGTCTTAATGTTGTCTTAATGTCCCATCGGTGTTCGTTCTAGTTGCCGCTTTATTGAAGCTGTCCTTAAATTTCACTCTTTTGACAAGGTGGTATGTAGCAGTTTAACAATGAGGTGAGTTATCAACAAAAGTCAATCTTATTTAAGACAACCTCTATCGAAGAATGAATATCTCAAAAACAAAGATGTTCAATGAAGTGAACCCATAAAGGACTCAGTTTTTTTGGTCCTTCTGCTGAGTCGACATGGGTCTCGACATAATAAAGAAGAAAATATTCAAACAATATACACATAATAAAGCAATGACCCTATATAAAAATAATTATAATTATAAAAATTCTGTAAAAATGGTACAAATTTAAAAACTGAGGTAAAAATAAAACCCTTTGTAATAATATATGTAAAATCCACTAAATCACATCACAACAATAAGTAGTTTAGACCCCCCATCCAACAAGCACTCCATGACCTTTTAGGGTTTAAAAGTGTTGATCAGGTTAAGGTCCAAATCACTTATTGCCGTGGGTGGAAGGGTTCTGGTACCTCTGTACCCCCTGATAGAGATTATACAGGTTCTGAGTAGATCAAAACGCAGTCTGCGTCTGACAAATGACATCACATCACAATACCGTTGGCCTTTCTTTAGGCTGATCTTTTCAGCGAGATGTTTTAGGAACTGTGAAGCCTCAGTTGCCATTCCTCCTGTAGTACTGAACACCAGTGGCGTGAAGGAAGCCTTTTTAACATTTAGGACTCTGTCATTGTACTCACGTTTTTTTGTTTTTCTCGTGAGATTGGTACATCTGTGAGATGCTCTTGTCACTGTTGGACTGGGCTTGAGGGTGAAGTACTCTTACATCTGTGAATGCCCTG